GTAAACGCCGCGAAGCATCTTAAACACAATGAAGAGCAAGGACGAAGTAACCGAGCATCTATGACGTAAACCCGCGAGGATCTTCATCTCTGTGTTTTATGTTCTTCTATATCGTGTTTATCTCCTCTCCTCCTTGATCTCAATCTTCGTCGTCCTATTTCTAACCGGTTTGTTATGAGTTGTATCACCTCTCTTTATTTATATTACTCCTTCCTCAACTTTTTTCGTTGACGTTATTCATCTAGCTTAACCTTTCAACGCATTTTCGTCTCACGTTAGAAATATAGCTTAACCTTTCATAACGATGACTTTCAAAAGTGAGGCAAATAAGGAAATTACTAAGTGAGAGTTCCTATCTAGCTGACACGTGTACTCGGTGGTGTGAAAGCATTAAATGCAATGCTTCTCTTTTAATATATAGGGGATGTGATGTTTATGTGAGTTTTTGTCTTAGGTTTAGGGATGAACCTAAATAAGCATTAAAATAGTTATAAAGGCTTTATAGTACAAATCAGCTGGAATAGCTCAGTTGGTTAGAGCGTGTGGCTGTTAACCATAAGGTCGGAGGTTCGACCCCTCCTTCTAGCGTTTTTCAATATTATTTTGACTCCAAATTTAGCGTGGTTCTATATTTAGTTCATACTAGATAATTATGATTTTGGAATAGACCAGTTTATATGACGAAACCGTCTGGAATGTGATCTCGATGCCATAGCGATATAGTTATATATATATATTTTTTTTTTCGATTTAGTTAAAACGTGCTCGAAACTGTAAACTTGGTGTTTGGTCACAAAGTTTCATACATGTAGAAGATAGGAGAAATAGAGGAGGAGAAAGCAACACTTAAGGCTATTTTACCAAAAAAACACTTCTTGGCTAAGATGAACAGCAAGAACTTTCGTCTATAAAAGATTGTTTGCTTCAATATAACAAAATATTTGTTATGTTTGCAATTTACTGAACTTGAGTTACAACAATAATCTTATTACCTAGTCTTCCTAGTGTGTGATTATTTCTGGGAGATGTTTTGCTTTTGTGTTATGTCATCTACTTGTAATGCAGCATGCTGTGAGACGCACCGACTACAACAATGTTGTAATCAGTGGTCTATACCTTATTTCAAAGTCAATGGAAAGGTGATTTTAAAAAGAGCTTGCCCATCCTTTTAAACACGGCCAAGTCTAACTTCAAGAACGGTTATAACTTATAAATAAGAAGAATATGATCAGTCCAGTCCATCTAGACTTAACGTGGATTTGGAAACAAGTGCTTTAGATATTTCTTTGCAAATGGTTTCTGAGAGGTTTCCTTTGATCTTGTAAGTTTTGTTAGTTGTTGCGACTTTTTCCAGTCAGATATACAAAGTTGCAACGTTTTTTCTTTGTTCTAACCTCTACGAATAATATTATATTGCCGGATGAGAAAAATAAAGTAGTTTTGCACACGACAAGTTAGTGTAAACACTAAAGCCATTGTCCATGACGATGTAGGCGTAAGTCAGCTAAAACACATTTGACCGGCGATTAATTAGGACAAAATGATACACAATGTAACACTAACACATGCTTTTTTATTAAACTATACACATTTAATGTTGTTAGTTGGAGACCTACGCAAATATAAAAGTCAACACATCTACTATTTTCCTTTTCATATCACAAAGCAAACTTGGCCTACTTGCTTAAATAAACCCCACCATCAATAGAAAGATTCAAGAACACACCTAACGAAAAAGAAGAACAACTCCTATTTATTTATTTTTGTAACACAGAAGAATAACTCTTAACTTTTTATTTTCACCATACCACCATGTTTAGAGCCATGAGCACCAGGAAAATCCACGGCGGCTACGAGAAGCTCGGGGAAGAAGAACCGAAGTTGAAAAGGGGCACGAGCGTCCCGGCTAGTGTTTATGGTGATTCAAGAAACCCTGTTCAAGAGGTGAAGAAGACACCGACGGTGAAACCAACCGGTGGTTCTGTTCATCCTTTGCTAAGTTTCTTCGACCTTCGTTCTCAGAAGAATAAGAATAAGAAGAAGACCAAGAAGAGTTCGGCGACGGCTAAACCAGAGTTTGCGAGGTATATGGAGTATGTGAAGGAAGGAGGTGTGTGGGATCCGAATTCTAACGCACCTGTGATTCATTACAGATAGATTCGATGAACAAAGACCTGTATATTTGCTTTCTAAAAAATACGAATAAAAAGAAAAAAAAAAACAGTTCTTGATTCATGTTTAATGAATTGACTAGGTGATTTTCCCGTGCTCATGCACGGGCTTAAATATTTAAGAAATAATATATTATAATAATTGATTGATATTTACTTTAAATTTTATATTAATTTATAGTTTGTATGTATTATTTTTATTAATAATATTATATTAATTTAGTAATTATAATTTTTTATATATTATAGTTAGTCAGTTTTATCATTTGGATATATATATATATATATATATATATGATTCTTTCTATTTCTATGAATTCAACTATAATCTTTTTTATTCTAAATATTTTGAATTTTTGATTAATTATTTTATTTACATCTATGTTGGTTGTTATCAACGAAATATAAGTATATCTTAGTAAGATTATGTATTTTAAGATTTTTTGTGCTTAGAACAAAAAAATAAAAACCAAAGTGTCTGATTCTAAATTACATAAGTAATAATAAATTTTTGAAAACTTATGAACACATATCAATACTTACAATAATTAAAATATTTTATAAATTCTAAATAATTTATGCCATAGATTGATTGGATGATAAACTGAAATTTTTTTAAAATAATTTTAAAAATAAGGAATTCTGATTTGCTTTAAGTATTAGATTATGGTTATATTAAATTCCACAAACATAAAAACAAAAAATTAAACATCAAAAGAATTATTAAGAAAACAGATAATTTTAACTATTAATTATAATATATATACCTTGTTAAATTATAGTGTTATGATATATTAAAAGAATTGTAGTTATTTGATCAAAAGATGTTTATTATTAAATTTAGTTTTAGTTTTGTTTTTAACATCTATTAAAATATGCAGTAAAAATGTGATTGTTTTTGAGAAATTATATTATATAAATAAAATATAATTTATATTTTTTTGCTGTAATTGTAAGATATTATAATCAAATAAATATACAAAAAAACATTTCAATAATACTAATTATAATTTTTTTGTCAATTAAACATATATCAGTTTATGTTACTTAATTATTTTATGTAATCATCTAATAAATTAGATAGATATATCAAAAAATAATTAATTTGAAAATATATATTTTATTGTTTAAATTACTTTTTTAAAGAAAAAATATTTCTTTTCTAATATCAAGATTATTTGTATGAACTTTTTTAATGAAAACACATTATATACAAATATTTTTTTCATCTAGGAAGATATAGATATAAAGTATTTTATTACTTAAAAGTATAATTTATGTTATTTAAAAATATATTTAAGTTAAATATTACTATTTTGTAAACTTTCATTTTTTATGAAACCATATTATATATATACTTATTTTTTCGTTTTAAATATTTTTGTAAATTTTATAAATATTTCTTTTTTATTTTATATTGTTATTTGGAAGATTTTAAAAAGGAAATAATAATATTTAAATATATTTTTAATTCATTAGGGGTATCATAGTAAACAACCAGCGTGAGAATTAACGTGAGCGCGACACCTAAGAAAGTGACTTCTCAAATAATATTATAGAGATGTATTTTAAAATGTTGAGTGATTAGTACACTTTCACTAAGTTAATTACAAGAATATGATAAATTCAAGATCCATGAGCTTTATTAACTTAGTTTTGAATTTCTTCTTTTTAAAAAGAAAAAAGTAAAGAAATGCTAATGAGAATCGAATCAATTGGTAGTTGCTGATATAGGAGGTCCAGATTTGTTTGCTTTGAATCAGGTTCTATATTCTTGATTTCATACCTCTAGCCTCTGTTATAAAAAAATAAATTAAAGGACGAAAGTTTCAAAATCTCAATGACAAATGCATTTGATTTTTTCTTCTGATCAAATAAGTAAACTTATAGAAAATATTATAATAATGAGCAAGATAGTTAGTCTCCTATATTTTGAAAGACAATATATTTTTTTGAAACACAGAAGACAGTATATTGGAAACAAATATTTGTTAACAAAATTGAATACTCTTGCTAGCGTGTTTACATGAGTCACGTTTAGAAATTGGCTCTAAAAAAATCAAATTCCAGCTTAGAAGAGGACAAAAGAATCAAAATTCCAACGTTTTCAAAATGGGCTTTACAGATTCGTGAACAGGTAAACTGGGCCATGCGTCAAAAAGTTCAAAAAAAACAATTTTTTTTGCTTCAGGACCTAAATGCAGCCACGTCTTAGGGTTGATGACGCAATTAAATATTGGAGATAGGACCAGTTCAGATATGACCCCCCATACTTAACAAGATCCCTGGCACGACATCGTTGTGAACTACTATTCTCGAAGCTCTACTACCGTTGAATTATTTACACAAAACACCCCCTCGTTATCACGCCGACCCCCGTTCGTTAGTCACACCCACGGAGGGTAAATAAGTCTTTCCACGTCCTTCCAGAAGACACGTTTGTGTAGAATATGTTCGACGAGGATTAATTTAAGGATTAGTTTACGATTAGGACCCATCAAATAACGAATTTGTTCAGAAAAAAAAAAGCGTTTTCAAAAAATCGAAATCAAAATCAAATATTTGCGGAGAGACAAAGCAGAGGTATCGGTTTGCGATAGAAAAGCCTTGGAGAAGAGGTCTTCCTTCTTCTTCTAACTTCCCTCCTCCCTCTTATACGATGCCGTATCACCCCTCTCCTTCTACCAATCTTCAACGTCTTCGTCTCGTCTGACGATTGAATTAGCTCTTTTCTCCGTAAAGATCTCCTTCGCGCGTGAGGTAATCGTTCTTTCACGCCATTGGAATTTAATTTTCGTTTATTAAATTCCTGGAAAAATTCGTTGTGTAAGGTTTGAATCTTAGGGTTCGCGAATCAATGCTGTGGTTAGGTTTTTAGCGATTGGTGTGGTCTCTTGATTCTAACTTACTCCTTTGTTAATCACATCTCTTATGCAGAGAGCCATGCCTACTTTCTCTGCAATTGCTTTGGATAGAATGATAGAGCCAGGTGCTTCCACGTCTCTCCACACAAAGTCTTCCTACTATTACTCCAAGCCACCAATCTCTAAGCCAGAGAAAGGCAAAGGCAAGTTACCTGATCAGAAGACGACCACATTCACTCGTCCTCAGATGTCACCGTCTCTCTACGCAACTCCTGATGCTATCCCACTACCTAACTCTCCCTCTTCATCTTCCTTCCCACCGTCTCCTTATATCATCAACCACAAATCACGCGGCCCGCCGCGTCTTTTGAAAAGCTCCTCTGAAGCTAATGTGGCTTCTAATAAGCCTCTGGAAGATGAAGGTGTTGTTACTGATGTGAAGGCTTCACCTCGGAGGAAGTCCACCTCTTTCTCGTTTCCTATCAGCGAGGGTACTGGAGAGGATTTTGATTGTCAATTTGGAAACTTTAATTTTGATGGGAAACTTGGTGATGGGAAGTCGGAGATGGATAATGCTGCTAATGATTTAGAATGGGAGAACAGTATGCAGGAGCCTGTAACTGCCAAAGCTGAGAAGGAGAGTGAGTCTGAAGATTTTTATGATCCAGGTGAGTCAGCAAGCTTCACGAGTAACACGGATGCAGGAGAGGACGGTTCACACAGACTTGCTACTCCTGTGGGAGAGTTTTATGATGCTTGGGACGGTACGTTTTCTATACTTCATTTTGTTACTTTAATGTTTTATTGTGAGATGATAGCTGTGAATGTGAATGCTTATGATCTTAACGTTCCCAGGGTAGTATGATTAATCACATTTTAGAGTCCAATATCTTTTGAATTTTAGCGATGGGGATAATATCGGTTCTTATTTTTTATTTTTTTGAGAATTTGTATGCTTGTGAACATCTTGAGAGTCGTGAGTCAGATTAGTATTGAGACATTACCTTGACGGTTTTATTGGGATTGGGAACTGTTTTGTGATTCATCTAATAATCTAACGTTAAAGGTTTCGTTTTTTTTCTTGTCTTCCAGAGCTATCAACAGACAGTGGAATGCAGAGTTCAGTTAACAACAACATGGAAACTGAACTAAGGGAGATTAGGCTGAGTTTACTGATTGAAATCGAGAAGAGAAAACAAACTGAGGAGGCTCTGGAGCAGATGCAAACCCACTGGCAGAGAATCCGTGAGCAGTTAGCCCAGGTTGGTGTGTTCGTTCCTATTGATCCTACAAACTCCACAAACAACATGAACCTATCAGAAGAGCTACGCTGCCAACTCGAGGTTGCTAGGTTTGTCTCCGACTCTCTAGGCAGAGGTATGGCCAAGGCTGAGGTAGAGATGAAGATGGAAGCTATGCTCGAAACTAAGAACTTTGAGATCACACGTTTGTCTGATCGTGTACACTACTACGAAGCTGTGAACCGTGAAATGTCTCAACGAAACCAGGAGGCCATAGGTAAAACAAAATCAAATTACTATGTCATTTCTGTTTTTCTTGGTTCTATGTATCTGATATCTAACCTTGTTGATAACAGAGGTGGCACGACGAGAAAGACAGAAGAGAAAGAAGAGGCAGAGATGGATATGGGGATCAATTGCAGCAACCATTACTCTAGGAAGCGCAGCATTGGCATGGTCTTACGTTCCTGCCTCCAGACCATCATCAGAAGCGTCACAGACTCTCAAGGATGATTAAGTAAGCCCTCTTGTCTCCATAACGGTGTTTGATATGAGCAAGAGAAATAAGATACAGGACGTTTAGCACGCCTTGTGAATAGAAAATATATACATGTTTTGGTTATTTGTTTTAACCCTTCAAAGAGGATGTATAGCTCACGAGTAGCTTACAAACACATGTTTCTTTTTGTTTTGCGGTTGCATACACATTCATTAACTAACATTCAATGTTAGCTCTCTAGTGTTTTAGATGCTTGGGTTGCTATTCGCTGCCTACGTTTGAAACTTAACCAGCTTATGTTTGAGTCATTAAATGTAGAATGCGAATATGGAAAATTTGAAAAAAATGAAGTTTGAGGGATATTTTTAAGCAATAATAGTTACAGATGCAACCAGAAACACATAGTTGAAGTAATAGAGATGACTCAAAGGCTTCAAGGAGAAGCAAGTTCCATGTTTTGTACCATAAAATGCAGAAACAGAACCCACGAACCCACCAACCGCCACTTGACTACTTGTGTGAAGCTTCTGAGAAACCCTTAACCGTATCTGCACAAAATGGTTTCAACATTGTAGTAGTTCACAAAGCATTTGCAGAGGGAGATAGATCAGTGCAATTTGTCATCAAGAAGCTGAAACACTTACAAATATGAACCCAATGTGAGAATGAGGCCGCTAAGGAACAGAGATACTTCATTGGTTCCAAGCCATTCGATAACTGCAGAATAAATTTGATCGATTATTGCATTAACAGTTCCACGATAGTATAAACGACGTATCACTGATTCAAGCTTTTTAGGTGCTTACCAGACAAAACAGCAAACACAGAAATGAAAGACATGGATTGGGCATGAGAAGATGGCATCCCGGGATCAGTTCGCAAGGTTGTAGCAGGCCTTAAGTAGACGTTTGAGAACTACGGAGAGAGCTGAATTCGAAACTGATCCAATGATTGCCCACAAGGCTGTCCCATCATGTCTGAGTAGAATGATGGAAGCAAACAGAGCAGAAACAATCATCTGGCGCATTTCATTATATTTTTGTTTTTCTACATCCACTTTGTAGAATAAATGGGTAAACCAATATTGAAGCAAAATAATGGGCTTTTGTCTCCTCACATGAGGCCCCATTAGAGGCCTAGCATAACAATCTCGGAGACACGGGAAGACATTTTCGCTTTTATAAATACTCCTTTGCCGCCCACTGCCATTTTCTAGCCTCGCCAATGCTTGCTCAGGCCCTAGCGCTAAGTGAAGCGATTTTCGAATGCAAGGACTTGGGTATCCGACGTCTAAGATGTGAAACAGATTCTTCACAGCTTGTTACAGCGCTTAAACCAGGAAGAGCGTCACCGATCATCTATGGAATAATATTGCAGATATTCTATGTTTATTGTCTGACTTTGAGTTAATCTATTTCGATATATTCGAAGGGGAAACAACAAAGAAGCTGATGCTTTGGCTAAGCAAGCTTTGCTTTCTGAAACCCTTGTAATAACCTAAATCCTATGGGTCTTTAATCTTTGAAAGCAAGTTGGTGTTCTCCGGTGGAAAAAAAAATATAACATGTTGACATGAAAAGGTGAAAAGTTAGACTTCGAATATAAACCTAAATAATGTATGAACGGTGAAAAAGCGTTGTACACGTCGATTTATTCTAAAGAATATAATAAATGTTTTAGCGTTTTTGAATACTGTTGCTTTCTTGAAATTCTGTACTATATGCATATGAACAAAAATTTGGAGTCATATATTAACATACTGATAAAAGTTAAGATATACAAATATGAAAGCAGAACTATTTACATATTTGTAAGTTTTACGCATACACTCAAATTTATGTGTTTGATCTATTTTAACTATTTTTGTTTTGAAATTTTTGTTTTGAGAAGAATGCTGACCCATTTCATCTTAATATTTATACAACTATTTAACAGTTATTATAAAAGGTTATTGTAATATATATGCAACTATTTAACATTAGGAATTATTAATTAATTAATTAAATACTGAGAATTAATATGTAGTGTTCTCTCAGTTTTTAGATTTTTGTCAACTTTAAAATATTTCTATTCTGATTTGTATATATTTAATAGACTTTAGGAAATATATTTTTAAACTTTTGAAACACAGGTAGTCAAACCTCCAAGAATATTTTAAATTTATCTTTATAACATGCCTTTATTTTGCATTAGGATCTTGAAAGTATTCAATTCTTTTGTAGAACAAATAATCATATAGTTAGTTCCACGTGAATGAAAATGCTAATAGTAGCCGTCAGTTAATGTATAAATCAGATAAATTGTTAGACATGAGATAATGTATATTTAAATGTTTTATTAATCAATTTTAGCCACAAAACCAATTTTAAAATCTATATTTTCCTAAATTATAGGTAAATATAAATTTTAAAATTAAAGATATTAAAAATAAACATATTATAACTAAATGACAATAGCATACTTATAAATACATTAATAAATCAAAGATACTTCGAAAAAGATCTTCTATTTTAATAGTATTGGTATACGTTATATAGCGTATGATACATTATAGATATACAAATATATAACATAGGCCGAATACGCCTTGAAGAATTTTCCACGAATGTTTCTTGAAAATATATTGGATAAAGTAATATAATGAGTGAGAAAGCGTTGTACACGTCGTGTTATTCTGAAGAATATTATAAATGTTTCAGCGTTTTAGAATAATGTTGCTTTCTTTAGAATTCTGCACATACATATGAATATGAACTAAAATATGGATATATTTAACATAACATATTGATAAGTGATTAGACAAACAAATATGGAGGTAGAATATGCCTTGAGGTATTTTCAACATAAGTTATATAACGTATAATACGTTTTAGATATAGTGATATACAATATATAAATATACATAGATCGAATATGCCTTAAAGAATTTTCCACGTATGTTTTTTGAAAATATAATGGATAAAGTAATATAATGACATAAATGAGAGTACTCTTTATATTTTAACCAATTGTTAATTATCAGATTAAACTAGCTACCTTATGTATGCATTCAGATTAGATTCATGGCCATTTCGTTTTGGCATTGAAATACTCACGGGTTAAATGAGTAAAATGGTTCTTGTAGCGCTTTAAACTTTGTAACTGTTATGGTGTGATCGTAAACTATTTAACCTAACTACTTTTGGAAACATATCACTAAGTAGTACTCAAGATACACATTGGTTAATTTATGTTATAAACCAAAACATGTATTTGATGATAATGTATCTTAAAATCTAAGAAATGATAGATATACCTATATATATTATATGGCGGTAAAACCTATAACTAGTGGCACAGAATTGTAGACAGTATTTGATTAAAATTTAGTTTTTAGGAATAAATATGGCTCATACCACAAGAATGTTTTCTCCTCTTTGCAGTTCTACTTGGTTTTCTTTCTCTTTTGATTTTAGAGTCATCACTTGGGTTAATGGTACAGTTATATACGATTACAGTCTACGGAACAACAAAGAAAAAAAAAACCCTGGTCACATCACATTTGAAATCCACAAAAGATTTGCATTGATTTAATCCAAGTTTTTCATATAATTCCATAAATTAAAAGAGCCATCGAAAAATGATATACCTTGAAGTCTGGCTAAAAAGAGTGCTAGTATGGGTGAAAGTGGCCACAATGGCCCAATGGGCGTAGTGACGATTGCCCCATGCCGTGGTAGATAACAAACTGTGTATCGTTCTACAAAAGAATATTTAAGTTAAGAGAGCAAGACCATGAGTACAGTTTTGGCAGAGATTGACCATGACCCGGTAATTTTGGAAAGTTTATCAAAAAACGCTCTGAGTTCGGAAATGTATAGAGATAACATAGTGTCGTATGTGTTGCACCAAAAAAAAGGTGTCGTTCTTTGTCAAATCGTTCTTGAATGTCATGCTGATATTTTCCATCTATATGGGCTATACTCAAATCAATGTGGCTATGTTAATATATCTAGTGGTCAAAGATTGAATCACCACTCCAAACAAGTAAACCATATCAGTGATTCCTGCCCAATTTTCTGCAGTAAAGATGCTTACTTTTGAAATAGGAACTAATACGCGCATTTGCACTTGTTGAAAGTTCTGTAGCACAAAATGACTCAACTTTTAGAATTTGTTCTCTCCCACGATTTGTGATATATTAGTACCAATTACTGCCAGACAGTCCAGACCCATAAATTTAGCACCCACGTATGCAACCCTAATCGTGCATGCATGTGTGTGGTTTGTATTAACAAACAAAAATGCATGCAAGTTGAACTTCTTTTGGGGGGGGGGGGGGGTAAAAATGCAAGTGGAACTTATGGGCAGAAACTAAAGATACCAGGCGACCAGTCTTTCCACTAACTATTTTCCATGTTTGTCAATGTGGCTTCTAACTATAAATTAAAGCGACTCAAAGCATTCTTTTGATCTTTTAGCCGACTAACTTTACATTTGGCTTCACCTAATATATTAGTTCATGCCGACCAACAAAAGTAGCGTGTCTGTTTCTCTTTGTTAATTATTGATTTGTGTGTTTATTTGTACATTACCTTGTAACTGCAAATGTAATAAATAGAGAAGAGTTCGGACAATGGGCTTTGAGACAGTCCGTAGATTTGTTTTTGGTGTAAATGTTAAGGAAGTCCTTAGATATCTCTACAATACAAGCAAATGAAGCACATTGTACAGTTTAATTGTCCATACACGAGATTTATGGCAGTTTAATTACCTGTAGAATCTTTCTCGGAACCTTGTGCCCGTATTAAATGCGATATTACGTGTAAGCTAATCATAGTCATATTTGTTTATTCATAAGCTCTTTCTTATTTTCATGCACACGTGATAATTAGTTTTATCGATTGAGATTATGGCAGTATCAGAGTATAGGCTTTAAACAAACACAAAATACAATTAAATAGCTGTTTAATTAGAATTAGTTGTTCAATGTTCGTAACTTAGATTTGAGCTGTGAGCAAACTTTCCTCGGTTAGTATAGTTTCTTATCGAGTGCAAAATAAATTATTAGATAAAATTTATTTTTAACATAATACTCCCCTCCGTTGCAATATCTAAATTAATGAAGCTGATGTAATCTCTATTTTAACCTTTTCAATTACTTTGAGATTATATATTCTGCCAGATGAACATCACGTTAATAATACGTGGATAGAAAAAGTCATTTTCTGACATTGTTTACATTAAATTCTGTAACGTCGAATATATTGTTGATACAAGATAAAACACGTTTGTTTACTGGTCCTAAATAATTATACATTGAAAGCAATTAATAATAAAAAAATCCTTTTATTATAACTAAGAATGAGTTTATTATCCACATCTATATTTTGTCTTTCATTTACCACTAAACTAGTTAATGTTTTATCAAATATTCTGACTAATATTTTACATAAACAAAAAAAAGTCTGGAGCATATGCATTTTTGGCTTCCTTTCAGAGCCATTATTGATGGTTAATCTCCTTGATTGCCGATAATGTAGATACCGTGGAGATCAAATGTTCAATTAATGTTAGCAGATATTTTCTCTTCAATACATAGATACACATGGTTTAGGCCTTAGTCCTATGAAGATTGCAGTTTTTCAGAAGTCACAACCTCTGAATCCTTTAAAAAATAAATAATTAAAATTAGATATATTCAACAGGATGTGCCCTACATCATAATATATATCTAAATACAACAAACAGAACTAAAACTAAAATGGAATCATAATAAATTTACCAAAGTTTTTTTTGGAGGTCAGGTGACCCCCTCCCTACAAGATATATATATATATATATATAAAATTTGAAAGAATCACAAATTGTGTTATTATTATGCATTTTGGAAAATAACATATAGTAATGTCAATCAATATTCTTCTAATCAAAACAAAATTGCTCTCTGTTAGTGACATCTCAGCCGTTAGTTAAACTGCTGTGCTATTGATAGAAAATGTACAAACAGTAGAGTTGGTTTTGAAATCTTAGCTTGTTATTTTAATGAAACGGTGAGATGCACGGGAGATATATAAATAACTTCTGTGGTAATAATATACCAAAATGTTGGTGAAGGAAAGAAAAAAAAGCAGAGTGGTAATCAGAACGGTAGTTATACGGATTCCATACGGTTCCCGTGAAAACCTGATTCCATTCTTACATCACTTTTTCATTTTGCCCGGTCCAATTTACACTCTGTTTTGTTAACAACAGCTGTAACTCGTTCAAACTTTTTTTTTATTTCTCTGTCAACTTGTACAAACACAAAATATTAAAATTTCTTGAATGTATGAGTTTTAATTTTTTCTCGAGTATACATTCTTTTTGTTTTTTTTTTGTCAACAATACGTTTAATATCTATAAATGCAAACACACAATATTTTGATATTCTGTTTTTCTGGAGTGATCATATACTCTTTTATTGGGATCATACACTTTAAATTACTAAAAATTTACTTTATAGACTTAACTTTTAACCAAAAATTTCAGAATTCCATAGAAATAGTCAACAATTTAGTGTTTAAAAAACATACCAATTTATATCAATTTTTTTACAATTATTTGAAAGAAAGAAAAAAAGGAAAAAAAGTCTATAAAAGAGACGCTTGGGGAGATGCATGGGTCCACTCCCTTCTTCTTCTTCGAACTACTTTCTCCCAATCTTCTCACATTTCTATCTGATTGAGAATGGATTCGATATCTTTCGACAACGTGAAAGCAGAGAAAGCCAATGCGCTGCACCGTTTCCAGAGCATTGGTTTCCTCTTCCGTATAGCAGAGATCTGCCTCGCTCTCCTCTTACTATGTTGGTTCTTCTCTTCCCTTCCTTTCGCCGCTCGTATCTCCGGCGAGTTTCTCCGTCGTCTCGCTTGCTTCGTCTCCTCTCCTCTCTTTATGTTCGTCCTCGGTAACTCCATCGTCGTCGCTCTTCTCACCACCAAATCCACCGTCTTCTCCAGCAGCGTCGACGGTGGAGCAGAGGCGGATCATATCTACGACGTGTTCATCAGATCCGGTGAGGGTCGCACCCATTGTTCCGACGTTAGAGATCTGTCGGAAGAGACCACTGTTTACGACGACAAACAGATGATCGACACTGAAACTGATTCGGTTTCAAATTCAATATTAGTTCCCACGGTGGCGCGTGAAGATCACGTGACAATCGAACCGGAGAAGGAGTCGGTTACGGTTACTGATTTAACTAAGGATCATTCTCCTCCGAAGAAGGTCTATCGAAGAAGCAAATCGGAAAAACGGAGACCAGTTACTGTGACGGAACCTTCGCTCCGGCGATCGGAGACGGCGAAGTGTCGTGAAACTGTTAAATTGTCTGAAGAAGTGCCGTGTCCGGAGGATAATCTGACAAACGAAGAGTTTCAGAAAACGATCGAAGCATTCATCGCTAAACAGTTGATCTTCCGTCGCCGAGAATCTCTCGCCGTCGTTATCCATAACCACATCTAAAAAAGAGCATAACTATATATGTATCTTCGAGTTCGGACCAACAAGCACAGTTTTGTAAGGGAAAAACATCAAGACAAGGAACAATTTAACAAGTCTATTATGTTTTGTCTTGTTTCCTTTTGATTTTGGATCAAATGCGTATAGTTTTCTAAAATGTTCGAATCAAGTTTGTTTAAAGATTCTGCATTTAGAGCATGAACCATATGAACAGTGCTTCTCTGTGTTCTCCTGTATTCACAGTTTTTAAATATTTAGATTAATATTTTGTCCTTTTTCTATTAGTTCAGCGAGTGTCACTTCCCTGAAGTGGTAACTTGAAGTAGAAGCGATGTTTTGTGAAATTATGGCATTACCAAATTACTTTAGTGCGATCCAAGAAAACAAAGGGTCGGCTCCTTTTTTTGTTGTTGTTGCAATGAAATGTATGAGTGCATATTTGAAATGTAAGCCTATGGTTGAGTACAAGCAATCACTAGCGTTCGGACATGAACTTGCTTATCTTCATCATAAAATTTAGTTTTAAATTTTGGTCTCAACTATAAAACTAAAATAAACCCAATCCCAATGAAAATCACAGAAATTAGTTCAGTCTGGCTTGTGTTAGTCGTAGGTTGCTTGTTACTATTTGTCTTGCTGTCGCATGATTGATCGCACAATCATGTCATAGGTCGCAAGTCACAAATTGATGTTCGCTTTAATGTTGCGCGACTGATCCCGCGATCACTCATAATCTGAAGTCACTGAAAAATTAGCGACTGAAAAATAAAACTTTTATGCGACCAATCATAGAAACTGCAACAGTCACATGAAACTGTGACAACGAAACTGACAATATTTGGCCGCAAATCGCAAAATATGCGACGACGAAACAAAAATATTTTGGTCGCACATCAAGCGAATATGGCCTCTACATGATTTCCTATGAAATAAGTGTTATAGTTTTAAGAACATTTCCAACCAAATTTTTATGTATTTTTTAAAAATAAAGAAATTATATTATTTTGATCTAATGTATGTCTCTATAATATATTTATTTTATTTTTGAGATAATACATAGATGAATGTTACTTTGCTATATGTAAAGAGAAAATCACATTTTTACCCTCAAAAATAGAAACACCTATTATATATCACGGAACAAAATATATAATTGTATTGGAAAATATATTATAAGTCAGTCGCTTATGTAGAAGATGCTAAAAATCTCTGATTCACTAGCCATAATAAAATATAAGCAGGAGAACAAAGATTATTGTGATGGAGAAGTTGCTTTCTATGTCCAAGACAATTACTCTGTCTCGTTGTTGTATTAATACCGGTTCCAGTTTGTATCTCGACTAAAACTTAGCAATGTAGATCAGGTAGCTTGTATTCTGATGTAGCATCTAGATATTTAGTTGTTTTTTTTTATAAATTTAAAATACTATTTTAATACTAGTAATTAAAAAACTAAAATGGACATGGTTTGTATTCTTCTTAATAAGTTGATTATAATATTTAAATAAGTATATCTAAAATTAATTTTGTATTTTTTTGTGTGGAAAAGATAATTTTGCGGGTTTTGATGAGAAACAACGGAAATTCCATTTTTAGCGAAACATACAATTTTATGGTTTTAGTGGGAAAACACGATTTTACGGTTTTTGTGAAAAAAAATAATTTTATGGTTTAGACGTAAAATACGATTTTATGGTTTTAGTGAGAAAATGTGATTTTGTGATTTTGGTAAAAAAACATGATTTATAGTTTTGAGGGGAAAATACAATTTTTTTTTTGTTTTTGACGGAAAACACATTTTTATTTTGGTGAGAAAATGCAGTTTTCCAATTTTGGTAGAAAATCACAATTTTCCGGTCTTTTTTTTTTGCTAAACTGTGAATATTCATAAAAATGAAAAGTTTAGGGTTACAAAAGCCTAAAAATTAAGTGATACCTTGGCAAAAAAGAAATAAAAAACAAGGTGGTCACATGAAAAACTAGATTAAATAACAGAATCATCTAATCCATAATTGCATAAGTGGAAAGAACTTCCTCCTATGTCTTCTCGCACTTATCGTGTTTCGAATGTCCCTGTCGATGTTGTTGAATGTTATCTGAGTTGGGGAGAATCCTGTGAGATGCACTGCTGAGTTTCGCTGCCTCCAGACGTGAATTTTCCGGTCTTGGCAGGAAAACGTAGTCTCTGTTTGGTTTTGAAGAGAAAACGCAATTTTTGATTTTGGCGGAAAAACACGATAATTAAAGTTTTTGCAAGAAAATATTTTTTTTAATTAAAAATACTATATAACAACTATAACTAATTTAAATATTTTTATATTTGTATTAGAGATATTTAAGTATTTTAGATATTGAGATGTAAATGTATATGGAAACTCTACTTTTTTTAGCATCTCAAATGTCTAGATATTATAGATGATACATCAAGATATTGATGCAACATTTGAGTATTAGGATCTGGATACTGAAACGAAACGAACATGCCCTCACTGTAAAAAACACTACAAGTAATAAAAATCAGATGTGCAATAAAACGACATACAAAATGGGTACGGTGTATATGATTTGGAGAGGAAAATATTTCGCTCTTATGATTGTTTCACAGGGGAATGATTGATGGTCTAATAAGTCATCACATAGTCTATAAAATATACCCAAGTTGAAACATATTATAATTGCTTAAGCCGCATGCACAGTGTCCGCACCGGTGGGTACGGCTTGGCACTAATCATAGTGCAATAATATGAATTGCGAAAGCATATAAAATGCACTTTTATGCAGACACGCACGCAGGAAAATTACAATGAAAAGTGACTTTCTTTTTCACCAAGACCCGTAATCTCTGCTGATAAGATTTCAAAAGCAGTTTTCTACCTTTTCCCTTTATCTTTTGTGTTTTTTCTTTCCTTCAAATTTCACTTATATTTATGTAAATACAAATTGCCTTAACAAAAATTACTGATTGCACTTTAAATTTGTTTTTTGTTAGTTAGTGATCTTTATTTGAGATCAGTAACAATGATGATTGTTTCCACCATCGACGGCTATAGACTATTATTGCTATTGTGGTTCTTGGATTGGCTAATGTCTTAATAAACTTAACAACCTGAAAACTACATACTAGAGTTAGATTTTATACTTATTACATAACACACGCATGTTAATTATAAATAATACTAACTGTCATGGATTACGTTGATTGATATATAGTGAAAAAAGAAAATTAGTTTACTAGAAAAATATGCATGCGTAAATACGCTTTTCACCGTTCCGCATAAACTCTTTCCTTATTGTTACATTTAAATAAAAATGAAAATAAAAAGGACCAAAGACATATTATTATCCCTGTTATGGATGCATGAACGAAAACAGGAAAGATAAGGATGTTGACGTCAATCAATATATAGTATCCATGTATAATACATATAAACCAAAGCCTACGAATTGTAGCTTATATTTATTTGGCCCACATTTATATCAGCGGTCGACAAAAAGATACTATTAGTTGTCTAAATGACAATGGCACATATCAAATATATTAGGGGTGTGACTGAATTATACATATTAGTTTTTACATTTTTGAACTTTTTTCCTAGTGAAGTGAAAAAAAACTTTCAGCCACTTTACTCTAAAAATAAATAAAACAAGAGTACTCCTTTCGTGAGTTAACCTAAAAACGAAAAAATAAAACATAAAACAAGAGTAAATTCTTATTCCACTTTAGAAAACGAGAAATTGTACTCCATTTTTTTAAAAAATTGTTTCCTTTCTTTTCCACTTCATTTTCTCCACAATTTTATTCGACACTAACCAATCACATTCAAGATGTATTCAACCAGTTTCCAAAATTTCTGTAGTCACATTGACACTATAGCAGCACTGGTCCTAAAACATGAAGGCCATAAGCAAATTAACAAATAAGGCATTACTAAAGGTCATTTTATAAGCAAAAATCATTTAATGTAAATGGAGAAGGGGGTAATTGAACACATTAACTTAGAGTATCTCCAAGGGCCCTTTATCCTCTCATTTTTAAAAGAATTTGCATTTCAACAAATTTTTATCCCTTCAAATTTGAAAAGGGTCTTGTCATTTATTTATATAAGTTTAAGAATTGTGTATTTATTATTTTTCACGTTGCATTTTAATATTATAAATATTATAATTATAGTCTTATAAAATTAGTTTTAAATAATAATAATAATATATTCATAAAATATAATAATGTTAATAAACATATTATGTCACATAATAATACATTATGGAAGTTTTACACAAATTAAAATTTATAATACAATCATAACATTTTACATCAAAATAATAATTACATAAGCTAAAATGTTCAAATATATATTACAATACTTAATCTACTTACTAATTTTGTCAATATCACATATTAATATGTGTTTATTGTTTAATTATTGAAGTTTAATGGTTATAATTAATTATTAATAAAATGGAAGAGTAAAACTATAAAATAAGAACACAAATTTGAGGATTATTGTTGGAGAACCATCCTTTCATTCTTTTATTTCAAAGATAGACCCCATAAAAAACGAGAAGACTCGTTAGAGATGCTCTTACCTATCACAAAATTACTCTATAAACCACTGAGCTACTTGAAACTTCTGAATATTAATGGCCGGTTATATACTTAATGAAACAGGGTCGGAAGCGTAAACTTCCAATGCTTCCCTTAGGGTCGGTATTAAACGATATTATATATTTTTCGTTATAATCCATCCTATGTAAGGGTTTTGTGCTGTTTCATGCATTCTGTTAATAATTCGAATATTACTTACAAGAAAGTGATCTTTAATCATTTCTCAGAGTTTAAGCAAAGCAATTGCCTTACTCCTTAGTGTATTTTTCTTAGTATTTTTAAAGTTTTTTCTTCTTTTCATAATTTTTGAAAGAATATCGTTAGAGGAGAAAAAACTAAAGTTCGATCTACTGTCAAACCAGAATTATGAAACACATCTCTCAACATGATCACTAACATA